GGCGGTGGGGATGCACAGCCAGTGCCAGAGCTCGGGAGGTCTCGACGTTGCAAAGTTGGGACAGAGCCCTTACTGTTTAGCTGCTGAAGGGAAGTTGGTAGTGCTGAGATAAATAAGCACAGGCTTTCTCCCAAAACACCCCCCGAAGCTGTACTTTGGGGGATTCATCCCACCTTCATCCAGCCCACACTGAGACAAAGATAGACCTAGATTTCCATGGCAGGAGTCTTGGAAGATCGCGGGTGAAGGATTTCAGGGGCACACCCCGCGCCAGGCTAGATGGAGGCACAGCTTGGGACTTCCTACAGCACCCAGTGAGGCTGTGTTTCGCCAGTGGTCAAATAGCAAGATGACTTTGCTGACCAGATGTCGTCCTTTCAGAAGTGCAGCCTTCAGCGGTGCATTTTGCTCCAAGTAAAGCTGAGCCCCCAGGAGGAAGCATACTTCAAAACAAAGTCAGTACTGTGACGTAATCCAGGCATCATCTGTTTTAGGATTTTACACAAGTTAGAAACAACTTAGGAAATTTTTGGCATGTGCAAAATTTAAAATCCATGTACCGCTTTCCAAAAAAAAGGGTAGAAACAAAGTGGCTGGCTATACTGCGGCATAAGTCTGCCAGCGCCCTAGCTGCACCCTGCAGTCTTTTTCACTTCAGAGGAGTTTTTCAATGCTAGAAGTCCCTCTTTGAATCCATTTTTCATTTTGTAAAAGGAAACTTAGATACAAACATCTGGATATTTTCAAGTATGGTTTTGCATTTTCTTTCTGTTCCTACTGAAGTCTCCAGAACCTTATAGCCGTGACATAGTGGCCTGTGTTGTGTGTAAGGAAGAAAACAAAGAAAATGACAATAAAGGAAAGCAGAAGTTTACAAGCCCACTTAAGCAGTACTTAAAGGTGGCAGGTACTTGTTTTTATGCTTTTATTACCACTCTAATTTTAGTTATGTTATTTTATGATACCCGGTTAGGGCCAATACCTCATTGTTCTAAGCGTTGTTCTAACTTACACCAGCGGCATTGGTTTCAGAAAGGTACACATATTTTTCTTGAGCGTCTCTTCAGCCAAAATAAAAAGTAACTTGTCTTTTCACATAATCCAGAATTGAGGGAGTTTACTGGAGAGACAGCTTTATCTTCTGCCACTCACCCAGGCAAAGCTTGCTCTGAAACAAGTGCAAGCCTGGGTGCGGTTCTAGATCCACGTGCGGTTTCTATGCAAGGATGCTGCGGATTTTAGTCGTGATTCTGCAACTCTTACTTACCGCTGCAGCCCGTAGAAGCAGCACTGCAGCCAGGCAGGCTTCAGAAGATCCCTGTGGGCTTCACACACCCTCCTTTGCTCTGGGGATTTGTATTTTTTTAATGCAGTGCGTTGCAATACAGTGATTTTCCCCTTCTTTCACGGTGACTCGTGGGACAATTTTCTCTCTCCTTTCCCAATGCGTGTCAGAGGCAGAAAGAACACATTAAAGGACTAGCAGAACTCGACTGGCGCTAGCCCCCATCTGCGCTTCAGAGCAGGCAGATTCGCTGCCGACACGTGCGACAGGCAAGCTGCACCAGCAGGAGTTTATAATGTAAACCCTAAAACCAGCGACTTGCTCTCACAAGTTTAGCTGTTGTTGTTTTTGTAGGAAAAAGGAACAAGAAGAGTGTGAGTCAAGTGGCAGCAGCGTTACAAAACATTTCTGTTTTTCTGACTCTGTCACCCTGATGACATCCTGTAATCTCAGTGATGCAAACCTTTCGCTGATTAGGGAAGAACATTAGCAAACAGCCTAGCTAGATGGTCAAAAGTGCTCTTTGTAACATAAAAATCGATGAAACAGTACCGAAAGCACGTGGAGATGTTTCCCACTGGGTAACATATGCTGAAAACAGCCAGGAAACTGAGTTGTCTCACCTGTGAAAAGACATTTCTTTTTGCTAAGGTGCATTGTGGATCCTAGTAAATACACTAAGGCCTATGAAATTACCCGATACAATCTACCCCTCTTACAAAAAGCATCTGTGACTGAAGCCACCTGGGTTTCCAAATGTACAAGTTTGTTTTGCAGTGAGGTTGTCACTAGAGCTTTTGGTTTCCGTATTTCTACTGTGAAGAGAGAAGCGTGCGGCTGAAGACGATGACCGCGGTGAAGGTACTAACCTTGCTTCCCAGGCAGGCGAGAGGGAGCCCACTGGGGGTGCTTCACGGGAGCACGATCGCAGCACTGGTGGGGATGGACCAAGGCTGCTGCCCTTCCATGGCAGTCCAATTCGTCAGCATCCAAAATACCTCGTTCCTCTTTCTCTACATTTTTTTTTTTAATAAATTAAAATATTCAACTGCATGCCAAGCTGCCTTTGTATCACTCTAAAGTCTTAATTAAAATGTTGTGTGGCACAAAGTCACTTCTCTTGAACTTTAATTTGCCTTAGAAATCATTAGTTGGGTACACGCCAGAGGGTGGCTGTCTTGCTCTCAAGGGGCAGGGATGAGTTGTTAGCTGAACGTGTGCCAGAAAGAGTTGATGGGAATCCGAGTGGGAAATACTGCAACCTATATAGAAAGACTGGAAGGGAGAAGAGGAAAAGATATGGTCTTGTACATTAGAAATTAGAGATAAAAATGCAGCAAAGATTCAAAACAGAAACAGTAAGTCCTTTCCTCTTTTCCCTTCCAGCCTTTCTAGCTAGGCCAGGCTTTCTAGCTAGGCTGTTCTAGTGAGGGATGAGTGAATTGGGCTAAATCTACAGAATGGGGCAAACCAGCCAAAAACGCTGGGCAGGACAAACCAAGAGAAAATGTTTGCAGCCCATGGGGTATTGGAAAGACTGAGAGTGGCAAACTTAGGAAGGAGATGGGGAAGAAATGGCAAGGAGGATAACACATCCTTTATACATTAAATCAATGATGGGTAAAACACTGTTAAAAAGCATGACTTTGCCTACTGTTGACTAAAGCTAAAGAAAAGCTGAGGCTGGACAACACCAACAGCCCTAGGTCCTGAGCCTGTGCTCATCAAAACACAGACAAGCTGTAGTTCTCGCCCCAGCACAGTGGGACACTGCCTGCACTTATGATCCCAAAAGGCAACTCCCAATTTAGTTAACTAAAAATCTGAACTTACTGCTTAGTATTGGCAATGTACATTTATGTACTTCATAAAACAGTGGGGGGAAAAAGCAAAACAAGTTTACAACATTGCAGCCACAAGAAGATAAAGAGGAGCTCTGGGTTACAAAACTGCTGACTGACTAAATATTTCTAGGATATATTCTTTAATATGATGTCATGGCCATACATTATAATACCTACCGGACAGAAGTGTTAGAGGTGACACTTGCGAATGCTTTTAAGATTTTCCTGTTAAGAAATGACAGAAGTTCCAAGTGTTAGTAATAGTGTCTAATTGATCTAGATACATTCAGTTATGGAAGTCCAGAAGTTGAGGCTACCCAGGCATCTCCTTATGTGCTCAGAGGTGCCGTGGCTTTGCCTAGTCCGATGACAGGAAAACCGATTATCTTTAGTTAACTAAATCATTCAAGTGTTTTAAATCTATTAACAAACCAGTCATTAAATGAATCGGTGACCTATTTCTCAGCTACTCAAGCTAAGAAACTACAACTGATGGCCTATAAAAGCATCAGCATGTTAAGAGAAATTATTAGCTGCAGCAGGAGAGCAACGGTCGGTCACTTCAGCAGCTCCCACCAATCTAAACACAAAGATTCACCATCGCCAGCTTCAGCTAAGTCACCAGAAATCATGTTTTGGCAGACTGATGTCTAGGGGGAGTACCATGAACCTGCTCCACTGGCAGCATACGTCTCTTCTTCCTTAGTTTGTTACTGGAAAATGTTAGGCAAGTATTTAAAATGGCTCAAACCTGGGATACTCCAGGGTAAAATCTGGGGTCCTGACTCTCCTGGACTCAGAGGGGTGAATTCTAGACCTAGCACTTATTTGTATAGCGGAACAAACCAAACCTATGGTCCAACCACCTCCCCTGCTTGGGGACAGGTATGGTTTAGCTCTAGGTCCAGAATCTGAGCCCTGGCTTAGGCCCACCCCGTATAGCAAGAAGATCGAAAAAAACAGTTTTTACTGTTGAGCTCCTCCGTTGCTCCTATCCAGCGACAGGCGATACCTGGAAGCCCCCTGTCAACCCTGGTGTGTTTCGGAGTGAGCGTGTGGTGGTGGGGCGGTGGGCGCAGAGGATGGGGTGGCGTGGGGGGGCACAGCCATGCACCGTGGTCTGCGTGCCCAGATGGAGACCAAAGGGGGGGAGTGAAAATCAGGAGGAGGGATGAAAGGAGGCAGGAGCTACCGGCCCCCTTGCCACCTCCACCAGCCATGGCACTGTGGACCCCCACGCCAGGCACTGCATCCTGGTGGGGCTCGAGACCTTCTGTCTCCCGTCATCTACAGCCATCAGCGCGCTGGCGTCTGAGTGCCTTCCAGCTAAGCCACCTGCTCCTAATAAAAAATTAGGTGGTTTTCGGCTTTTTTCTCTTCCCCGGCTACAAACCAGCCCAAAACACTCAGTTACAGGCTGCCAAGCGAACCAGCCAGTTTTCCCATTTTCTGGACACAGCCCTGCTTGGGGGGGTTGCCTTTTGGGATCACAAATGCATGCAGCGTCCCACCGTGCTGGGGCAAGAATTACAGCTTGAAAACCAAGGCGGGGGGAGGCACTATTGAAATCTGCTTGCTCAGCCACCCTGAAAAGCAACCTAAATTATTCCATTTGTATTTGTGTGGTGTTCATCCCATGACACTGCATGGAGCTGAAGACAGATGGTAGTAAAGTCGGGAGTCTAAAAAGCAGAGGAGAGTAGGAGCGGGCTCACCTACAGCATCAAGGTGCTTCAGCCGAGTTAATGCTTGAAGAGCAACTTCTTTTTTTTTTTTCTTCTTCTTTCTTTTGCAATCATTGCTCGCTTGACAGGCCCAGACGGAATTACATCACTTCCTAAAACCCATCAAAGAGAGTCCATCTCCTGAAGAAATGCGGCTCAGATGCACCCCGGCAGGAAACAGGAAATGTAAATGCTCGGGTGAAGCAGGGAGCCCGCCGAAGCCCCTCGGGTGGCAGCCACGCCGAGGTAACATGCGAAAGCAAAACCTCATCGCGCTGCTTTCTGCCCTGTCGCTGGCCGGAGGATCTGCCAGTAACAGTGAGTAAGAAAGCGCCTTTCGCCTTCCGAGGTGGGACCGCGGTTCGTGCCTGCAGCGATGGGACCGAGTCGGAGGGCAACACCCTCCAAACTGAGCACTAGGAGAAGATCTGTGGGGACTTGCTCTCTGCTTTTTTAGCTGTGTTTACCCTTTTCCAAAAGCTTTGACTTTTTTTCCTTAGACCTAAGCACGAACCTCAGCAACTAAATCCTACAATTCCTACATTTCCTAAATTGCAGGTGCGTAGGGAACCGGCGTTTCCACGCTGGCCCGCCAGGCATTTGGGTTCTAATTTTAATTATTTGTTCCACTTTTTTAACCCCACACCCATACTATCAGTATTTAATAGCAAAGATAAAGACGGAGCACCGCTTCCATTCAAAAGCCGACTGCCGATTTCCGTAGTCTCAGTGCACTGAAACCGGTTTAACAAAAGAACAGCCGGTTCCGGAGACAAATATTTTGAATTCTCAGCTGCAGAACAAAGTGGCTGGCACCGTGGATTTTAGGTCCTGACCTCTTCTGAAGGGAAGAACTGTGAGTGGAAAAGCCGCTTGTGACAAAATGCTGTCATGGGTTGGGGTGTCGTTGTCAATGTCGGTGTTGGGGTGTCGTTGCAGAGGCTCTCACCCGTTCGCAGGGGGTAGTTTGTTTTCACTGGCATTTTGACAGCCAGCAACTGGGAAAGACAGGCAGCTTTTTAAGTAAAACCTTGCCAGGCAGTGCTTATATGCCTTTGGGTGTCAAACAAATCGCTGCTGAAGTGCCTCGGTATGGACCAGAGGCATTGGCTGCCTCTGTGCTGCTGTAGCGAGCGGGAGCTCTCCAGAAAGCGGGGAGGAAGGACGGTCACTCTCAGCTCTCGCTGGACTTCTTCTATTAAGGTTTTAAAATGCAAGGTGGTTTGGCATGGGTATTTTTTCCCTGAAAACCAGTACAGGGCGTACAACAGGGCTGCTGGCTCCCGGCATGCATTGCAGAGGCTCTCACCCGTTCGCAGGGGGTAGTTTGTTTTCACTGGCATTTTGACAGCCAGCAACTGGGAAAGACAGGCAGCTTTTTAAGTAAAACCTTGCCAGGCAGTGCTTATATGCCTTTGGGTGTCAAACAAATCGCTGCTGAAGTGCCTCGGTATGGACCAGAGGCATTGGCTGCCTCTGTGCTGCTGTAGCGAGCGGGAGCTCTCCAGAAAGCGGGGAGGAAGGACGGTCACTCTCAGCTCTCGCTGGACTTCTTCTATTAAGGTTTTAAAATGCAAGGTGGTTTGGCATGGGTATTTTTTCCCTGAAAACCAGTACAGGGCGTACAACAGGGCTGCTGGCTCCCGGCATGCTACCGAGCTGCTGGCAGTTAGAATCTTGCTCAGCTGTAAGAGCAAGCTAAGGGAGGTGCAAAACAGCTTGGTCTTCTCTGCGTTACTACAGCCCTGCTGCGTTACACATGCGTTAGGAAAATAGGCTGCAAGCACTGAACGTAGCTCAGAATCAAAGCGGTCAGAGGGAAAAATCCCACCATGGGCAGAGCAAAACGGAGGGGCAGGACGCAAGCAAAGCAGAGCGATCAGGCTCCAGCTTCCTTAGCTTGTTTGCAGCGTGCTGGTGGCGAGTATTTCATCACCACCTCCACGGGTTGGAGGGATGCCTTAGTCCCCGAGCCCCCCAGCCCACAGCTGGGCCCCCCCTGCCCTTCTTTGCGACGGGCACAAAAGGCTGCACGAAGCACCAGGCAGATGTCACGTACCAGGTGCCCCAACCCACTCCCTGCTGCCTTTAGAAGCTTCCTACCGGTCGCTCCACTTTTAGATTTTGGTTGAACTTGGAATGGTTCCCCCATGGGATCAAGTCCATCCTGGCAGAGCTCTCCCTGACTGCTGTCAGCCCTGGCTCTCCTGAGCCAGACCCTGCTGCTGGAGAAGGGGAGGAGAGCACCCGCCTGGAGAAGACAGGGACTCTTGCTCCCCACACAAAAGCGGCTTTTGTTTGTGCAACCAGCCCCAAAATGTATCCAAGGCTTATGCTGACTGTGTGGGTGGTCAGGGGGAAGTTGTGACCTCGGGCCTCAGGGCTGAAATTGAACGGGAAGGGGAAGAGTTTCGGTAGGGCCTGATGTACCCCACAGGCACTGGTGGGTCGGGAGCCCCTCTGCTGAGGGCAGCCTGCTGGGGGGATCCTTTGCTCTCACCCGTGCTTGCTCACAGATCAACAGGGCAGGACCTTTAAAGGAGCTTTTTCGGTTTTCCTCCAGTCCCAGACACAGTCCTCACCTTTAAAGCGCTCGGGGATCCCCCAGGTCTCACTTCTACTGTCTAGATTGTCTGCTGGAGAAGGGGGGCAGAAGCGCTTGGGGATCCCCCAGGTCTCACTTCTACTGTCTAGAAACCATTTACAAAACAGGCGATAAGAGTATGATTAAATCTTGCAGCACAGGCAGATTGAAGCCTATACAGGTCCATACCTTGCTGGAGCCTTGTAAAACCCTAGCCTTGCCATGTGAATTCTGATTAACAGAGGGTTTTCTCCCAGCTACGCTACAATTACTCTAAGCCGGTAGCTCGAAGAGCATGCTTGAGATCTCAGCTCTGGGTGCTGGCCCTCCCCTGGCTCCGCACTGAGGGGACATCAGGGTTTGCACCTTCCCCTTGCCCATCCCCTTGCTTTATGCGGGCAGAAAGCCCTGCTGGTGACCAGCATGCTGAGGGCCAGCAGTGGCCCTCCCTGCCGTGGCAACGGCAGTGGCTGCTCAGCCTCGCAGCAGCCTGAAAGACCGACCGAGGTGTGTGCTGACCCTAGGAACAAGCACTAAGGCCCTTACGATAGCTTTTAGGAAAAGGCTCTGACCCTATGAGCGTTTCCCAGGGTACGCCATCTCCCTCTGTGCTTGGTGAAGCATGCGGGAAATTGCAGCGTAAGCGGTCTGACACGGGGGGGGGCGAGAAAATGCGTGAGGGAGAGGAGCAGTAAAGCGTGTAAGGTCCCTAAGTAGAAGAGCTGGGGTGGTTGCAGGTAGTGCTTTTATTTTGGCTGTGTCTCTGCGCTATCGTTTTGAGCTGTCATTCAAAGAAATGTTGCTATCAAAGATCCAGATACTCAGCCGCTCGCGTGTCTTTGGCAGAGAGGGGTCTTTTAGGTAAGGTCTCTAAGGGAGTGATATTTTTGACCCATTCCCCCCTAGAGTAATGAACTCGGGAATGGGTTTGAACCCATCAGAGTCACCTGTTACAATTTTCTAGCAAAGCAACAATATAAGAAATGAGGATTTGCTCCATCCTCTCTTTCCAAAGTGCAGCCCCCTAAAAAGCAGATGAAAACTCCTTTCTACTGAACCCATCAATTCCTTGCACCTATTTACTGCTGTTCATCCCTTTTATCCACACACACAGGCTTCCACTTTTATTCGGGCGCTTCAGGGGCATTTCAGAAAATGTCTCCTTTACATCAGCAAGATTGTATCCTAAATTTCAGTCAGTGACCCCAGTCTATTTTCCCTCAAGAGATTTTATGACAGCTGGAGAGCCTCCGGAGCTTTTGAATCTTTAATTTCAGGCTCCTCCTGAGAGCAAGAAGCACCGAGAGATTCGCATCACAGCGAGGTCACGCGGGTATCACTGGTGCAGAGCTGGAAGGCCATGAGATTAAGTAGATGCAACTAAATGCATAAATTGGTCTGAAAAACCTTTATTCCTGGGGGTGAGAAATGAGACTACAGGTTCAGAGTTTGACTCGAAGAGGCATGACTGAATTTGCAACACCGGCAGTAATGCAGCACTTCAGCTGGCTGGGAAGCACAAGTGAGGAGAAAGCAGTTTCCATCGTCTAGAAATGAACTTGAACAGTCGTTGCCTCTCTCAGGCTATACCTAGATAACACTTTCTAAGCACCCTGCTTTAATAGGATCTTGTCTACAGATTAGCCGTCCTGAAATGTTTGTGCTGCCTCGTCAGCAGAGCGTACGCACCCGACAGCCAGCCTGCAGGCTTTTGAGGATTCCTCTGCCAGCCAGACTGACAGGCAGGACCTGCCACAACAGGCAGCTGGGCAAGCCCCGGCCGCGGCAAGGAACGGCCCGTCTTGCAGCAACGTGAAACGCAGGGTGAGGAACAGCACAGGGGTGAGTCAAGCAGTAGGAGAGGGGATCATACAGGGCACGTGGAGACGTATGACCAGCAGCAACGTGTGTATGGAACAGAGTGATATAGGATATGGAACCTTTGCCCCGGCATGCACAGCTTTATAGCCTGTTCTTGTTTTGTCACTGTCCCCATAGGCCTTCCTTTCGCTGCATTTTTATAGCTTGTCGGAAAGTTTGGAGAAACAAAAAATTTCCTTTCAAACTAGTAAGCTTGACCATCCCATTGACGTAGCTCTTGCTTTTCCTCTATCCTGCCCCTTTTTCTTCTGTAAGTAGGTACTATAGCATAACTTGAAAAATTCCCTTCAGAGACCCCAGTCCTCGAGCCTGATGAGAAGGCAGCAGGGAGGCTGATGATTTTACAGCAGAACCAAATGTGCTGACTGCCGGCTATTTGCCTTTGCCTCGCATCCAACTGAAATCAGAAACCTGTTTGCCCGCTTACTTCATCAAGAAGCTCCTATCACCACCTCTGAGGGCTATGGTACAAACCTCAGAGGAAGAAATGCTGCAACAACAGAAATGCTGTTTGTTTGTTTGTTTGAGATGCAGTTGTTTGGACTCCGGTCTATAAAGCTGCTCGGTATATTCAAGGCCCTCTGTCTCCCTTGAAAGGTAGGCTTGGGAGCACCTCCAAAACTCATGCAAAGTCCATCGGTAATTCCAGCATATTTTTTAAAGTAGAAAATATTGAATAATGCCTTATACCATGCTATCCCTGATACCCAGGGACATAGCTTTTTCATAATTTGTAAGAGCTGTAATGGAACTGTTTTCAAGCTGCTGCTAATGCTTACTCAGGCATTTTGGTCCCCTGAGGACTAGATCCTCTAATACCTCAGTGGTGGGAACCTGAGGACTCCTCCGCTTCCAGCTCCAGCTTCTTAGCTTCCAGTTCCTGCTGTGCCCAGCTCCCCATCAGGGTGGGAGGCAGCTGCATACCAGCCCCTCTCCCTTCTGCTCTTGAAAGCGTGGGAAGTGGCTATATGGGCTGGGCTGAAGCTGTGACGTGCTCCCGTCCACTTCCCTCGACACGGGGAGAAGTTGCCAGCACTCATGCCCCAGGTGGTCCAGACAAAGCTGAAGCCAATGCGGTGGTGGTGTGAGCACCTGCTCATCGGCCGAGATGTGCAGAGGGCCACGTACGGATGTCAGACCGCAGCCAACAGCATAAGGCTGAGCTCAGCAAGGGGAAGGGCATAGGCTTTGCAAAGTCAAGGGGATATCTACATGGTCAGATGTGACTTGCTCCTTGTTCCACTCCGCTGGCCTTGTTTTTCCATCCTGAATGTATGGTATGGTATGGTATGGTATGGTATGGTATGGTATGGTCAGACTCCCTTTTGGAGGGAGCTAGTAGATCTCTGCAAGATCATAGAATCATAGAATGTTTTGGGTTGGAAGGGACCCCTAGAGGTCCCAGATGAAACCCAAACACAGCTGACAAGACAGTTCATGGTATGAATGACCACCACAAATCTGGCTTTCTCCACGCATGGAGAAAATGTTTGAACAGCACCTCACAAAACCCCCGACTTTCAGATGTTCTCCTGCCCTGCTCCAAACCTTGCAATGCCCAGCTTTCATTCTCCCTACAAAACAGCCACTGGGGCCAGCTGCAACACAGCCCGCTCGCTATTTTGAGCACTTTAAACTGAAACGCTATGAAAAACGACTACTTTGAGGCCAGCCACGTGGGTCTCATGTGGCCCGGGCAGCTGGCTGCGGCGAGCACTGCGCCTGTGCCGGGAGGCCTGACTCCACCCCCCCCACCGGGCTGGAGGTACAAATCCTTCCTTGGTGCAAGCCACCAGGCCCACCCAGGTGCAGGCTGTGATTTTCCTACCGCATAAAAACTGTGATGTGTGGGTGGCCCGAGAGCACGAGCAGCCCCTGTGCGACAGGTAGGGCATCCCTCAGGTCTGAGCCCCGCTCCTCAGAGGTGACGGGCAGAAGAGCTGGAGGGAGATGTGTGGAGGCAGCAGGTGAAACACAGGAAATGAGCAATATCCTCGCAAGAACATTGTGCAATTGGCTGCCCTTCTGCTGAAAGATGTGTTTAATTCACTCAGAGAAAAGGTCTCTGTAAGAGGAAACGGTGCTCCGCAGAAGAGGTGCTGGTTTGTCCCTGGAATTACACAAAGCCAACAAAAATACATGGCAGCGAGGTCACTCCCTGCGATTTGCCATTTTCTTTGCTTAGAGACTAGAAAAGGTAATTTTATTTAACACAGAGACAAGTTATTTGAAATCTGCTTCATAGCTGAAAAACAGGCAAATAAAAAGTACCAGAGACACTGGAAAAGTCTCTCGTGGAAACCAAGCGCAGCATAAGCTGCAGCTGAAAGTTCAGCGCTGCAGTTGATGAGGTGTGACTGCCTGCTTTTGCTTCAAAGTCACACCACTCTTTACACATTTGAAAACTCCATTTTAGCTCTGAGAGTAAATGAAAAATAAGGTATTTTCCCTTCACCCTTTCCCATTTGCGCTATTTTAAGCAACGGGCTTTTCCTTGTCAATATATCAAATGTGGCAGGCGGGGGGTTTCAAGGGCGATGGGTTTCAAGGGCGATGGCTAGAGGAGGAAAATGAAGCAAGGTCATCGCAGCGGTTCGGTGAGGCTGTGGCGGTCCATTGGCTCCGCCAGCGGCGCGGTCCATCACGCCGTGGTCTGTGGTGCGGACACCTCTAGCGATACCTCGCCGCTCTGTGCGACAGCAATCAAAATGGAGCGGCTGCAGGCACCAGGGACTATAAACTACCTCAGGAAAGAAAAGTCAAGTGGCCAAACTAATAAGGGATAGGAGCTCTCCCTCCTGTCCTCTGCGGTGGGATTAAGGAGAGCCAGCAGATCGTGGGAAGGGGCAGAAGAGCACACGCGTAAGGGGTCATTACCTGCAAGGGCGGCAGAGATCGTGTTTTGCTCTTGACTGAAATACTAAATACGGAAAAAAAGGGACAGAGAGACTTATCGATACAAAGTGCTTTGCCACAGAAGAGCTAACATTTTCACTGTCGTATTGTGGTGAAAGAGTCTGGTGACCTTTGCAGTATTAAATGCTATATTCAAGCCTTAGGTATTATTTATTAAGTATTAGAATTCTTTCCTAGTTTTTAGGAAAGGATAAAACAATCGGGTGCCTGAGTGATAAGAGCGGCATAAAAATCTAGATAAATCACTGCTGTCACACTCAAATAATTTTATTAGTTTGAAATTGGGTTTCCTGGAATACAGTTTCATGAGATACCCATCTCCTCTTTGAGATGAATCTGACAGGAGAGGAGATGCTGCAGAGTGGATTAAGCAAGAGATAGCGCTCTAATCCCAGTTTTCCTCTCTCACTTGGCATCCCTGGGAAGGACAGCATCCCTGTCCTTCTGATTTCTCATTTGTAAAATGGAGATGATAACTGCTCATCTCTCAGGGCCATTATGAAGATTAATGTGTTTACAAAAGCATTTAAAATGCTAAGTACTTTTGGTTCCACTCCTGTGAGACTGGAAATGCCAGCACTGAGGTGCTGAAAACCTTAAGCTCTTGCTAACTCTAGTGGCAACGATGGCTGCCCAGCACTTTATAGAATGGGGAGAAACATGTCATTGCAGAAGTCATGAAATCCCATCCTTATTTATTGCATAAAATGAGAGCTGCACCATGTCAGCATTGTATCTGAAAGGGCAGATAATACCAAAAAATCATCATTTGATTTCATGCTAAGAAAATTATTGAAGGCTTTGCATTTGGACGCATGTTGGTGTAACCTAAGGACTGATTCCTGCACCTTTGGCTGCAACAGGATTTTTGGCATCAGCATAAAGTACAGTATGAGCCCAGAATTTCCTGTACTTCTCTTAAGCTTTAAACTCCATAACAGTCAACACAGATTCTTAATTAGCCTCAAAAAAACCCCCCACCTTATTTCACTATCACCAATACAGCCAATTTTAGCCACTTTTCTTGCAAAATGCATGAGGAATGAAACAAAAACCTAACTCAAGGTTCAAAACCCAGTCCTAGTGTTTGTGAAGAATAACTAGGATCAGACAGAGAAGTTAATTGCATCTGGATCCAGTAAAGTCCCTGTGTTACTACTACCTCTTCTAGTCCATGCAGAAGTGAAAGTCAGCAGCCTCTGCAGGCTTCAGACTTCCTTTCACCGGTTCTGTTTTTCGCAGTGAAACAAATTCAACAAATTTGACAAAGGCACAGAAACGGGGAGGTGAGTGAGCCAGGGGAATTGATGGAGCAGGGATGATGGTCTCCCTGAAGGGAGCACTAACTCCTTGGGTGAAAGCAGGGACAAAAGCAGTTGCAGCCGTATGTGCCAAGGCTGAGGAGCAAAGCAGGATGGTGTGGGTTACTGAGAAGCAGAAGACTTTTATGCGAGAGCGAGACCGGATGCCAACCTGCAGGGAAAAAAGTCTGTTTGTGCAAGACAGCTGCGTGCAGACAGACCATGCACGCTGACGTGTCCCAGTCAAAGCCAGCTGAAGAACACGGTCAGGACTGGTAAGATTTTGTGATGAATTTGCCATCTAATTTTACATGAGTTGCCCGAGACTTCAAACCTGTATGTATGGGGCATCCGCTGTTTTTTTTTTTTAAGACGTCAGGTGAAAAGTAAATATTAAAGCTGTACGCTTTGACTCACTGATAATACCAGTAAAACCCATAAAATGTTAAGTTGTCCTCATGTATTTGGCAGGCTCTGAAAATGTTGGATCAGGCGATGGATTGCTGATATTATCCACCGTTACAGTAATGCCTCCTCCTTCTACGCATTCTTCGATCACGGATGACCACGTGCCAGTTCTCGTCAGCGTAAGTGCCACTGAAAGCAGCTTTGAAACTGAAACCACTCCAAGCACTGAACTGGACACGGACAGCCCCGAAGCTGTGGAACCCTCCATCCTGATATATGTCGTCCCTGTCGTGCTGCTGGTCCTGCTGATTTTGCTGACCATATTTTTTGTAATGCATCATAAAAGGAAAAAGTCTAAGCAAGGTAAATTTGTCTTCTCATGCATCAGAAGGATATTTTTAGGATGTGCTCGACATTAACGAAATGTTATTTGCAGGCCTGGGATGCCACATTTAGGATGTACTTGTCTGCTTGTAGTTGCACTTCTGACAGATAAAGGCATCCATCCCCAGCCAGCGGTATCTGGGCACGCAGCTCTCCTTGGGCGGGAGCTAATTCTGCTTCTTGGCACCTCCTGCTCACGCTGCACAATGACGGGAGCTGCGGCACCAAGCTCCGGCTCCTGGCCATGCTGGGAATGGCATACGGATATAACCATGTGGCTGCAAATGCTTATTCTCTCTTAATGCTTAATAACTTCATGCAGGGTGAATTTAATGCTTCTATTGCCTGTACTGCCCACAAGGTAAAGCCGCTCAGAGCTTCGATAAAATAAGAACAAGCAAAACCGTTTTAAGGAACACTTTTAAGGGATCCTGTAGGGCGGTGGCAGCTACGAAGATATAGCAAATGAGCTAGGAATCCTGGGGTCAGACTGCCTGGGTGCTGCAGTAGGGAGAGCAGAGCTCCAGGAAGGTACCTCGATCTGCTAGCACAGAAATGGGTAACTTTGGAGTGTCAAGCCACAGAAAACAAACTGAGGTGCCATACGAAACCCACGCAGTTGGTACACGAAGTCGTGAAATGGTCGTATCAGTGTCTCTACAGAACAAGAGTGCAGCTGTGAGCTCCTCAGCCTGCAGAGAGCGACATACATTCAACATGGATTTGAAGTCCATTTTCCAGGGCATTTTTGGGCTGCACCTGCCTTATCACTGGGTCACCCTCGTAGCAAACTCTGAATTCACAACCAGGCATCTAGGTGCCCGCCTGTTTCTGGATGACCTGAAATGCAGGCATGCTCCTCAGAGGGATGTGAAAAGTGGTACCTTGCAGGAGTGCAATCCTGGGATCTCTTGCCCTGTGCCTGTTGCTTGGATCTTGGGCATCCTCAAGGCGGGGGCAGACAGCTCCATGGCCCTGGGGCCGCTCTGCAGTCAGGGCATGTGCTGGAACAAGTGGGAGGTGTCAGCACCCATTGGCAACAATGAACTAAACCCAAGCTGATTTAAGGCAGTATACAATGTGAATCCTATACGTAGTTCTTTATTTGTTTTTGAGGGCTGAGGATTTTCAGTCACTGTATTCCTGGAGGGGAAGTTACGTATCTGAAGAATGGCTGTTACCTTATTTTTTTCTCCCCATCTTTACTTTGTCTTGGGGTCACAAGTAGCTTTGGATCCCTTTTGACATCTGGCTAGTTCAGCTTCATTTGCCTAACTGAGATTTAATCTGCCATGCAAGTCCACCCCCCCACTTCTTCTCTCCACAAGAGGCTCCCAAAGTCTCCAGGCAGGGCCAGATTGCCTGCATGTAGTCTGCAGCAAAATGTCCCAATGCTTCCAGCAAATGTTTTTTTTTTTTTCAGCAGTGGTTCCTTTTCAGGATACCATTCCTCTCACAGCATCTGTTTTGCTCAGGGAAGCGTGCGTCTGCCCTGTCCTGCCCACCGCGGCGGTAACAGTGGGTTTCCTCCCAGCACAGCTGAGCTAGTAATGAGCTGCTTTGAGCGTGTTCAAGATTAAAAATAATGGGTTCCTCTGAAGATTACAAACAGGATGAGATGTTTTGTCTGTCATCTACTAGTTAACCATTATGCCTTTTGAAAATGCAACCTGTTTTACATGACCCTGTTCAAGGCTTGCTTGCAGTCTGGATCCTGTATGCAAAGAGCAGAACTATGAACACCAACTTTTTTCTTTTCCAGATGAGCTGGGAAGCGAAAATGTGAAAAGGTAAAGTTGATGAACACTGCTCCTTTTTTTTTTTTTGGATTCTTTACTCTAATGAGGTATTATGATTTTTGGCTCCTTCGTCACCTGTTTTAATTTAACAATACGCTAAACACCACTCCCTTTTGCCATCAATTGCTCCAGTTAGCTATCTCTAGAGGTGGCTAAATTTAGTGTGACTCCAGTATCTAGCTGAAGGTGTAGGACTAGAGCAGGAGAACAGGAGTTGGGGTGGCTGAGGTGAGCGCTGCCCCACGGGCACCCACTGCCCACAGCTGCCCCTACGCCTGCTCCAGGCACCCCTGGCTCCACCAACCACCAGAGGCCACGAGACATCCAAGGTGAGCAAAGGGGATCAGTTCCCAGGCTCATCACAGGCTTTTACTATTCAGAATAAGCTCTTGTGTCTTGCTCCCCTGCTTTTCAAGTTTGTCTTCTTACTCCGAGGTGAGGCAGAAGGGCTCGCCCCGCTGCTGTGGAAGCAGTGCTGCTGGAAAACAAGCTGAAAGTTGCACAGCTCTTATCAGAGTGATAATTTTTATTGATACCTTTTACTGAGCTTCATCTTGCTAATTACGCTGGAAGTCATTAAATTGGCTTCATGGGGGAAAGAAAAAAGGGGGTTTTGCTAAAATTATTTTTTCTACTGTGTGACTCCAAGAATGATCAGCAAAGGGAAGCTAAACAGCGGCATTTACATAAATGCAGCGGTACTCTACTCACGACCTTCCCTTTTGAAGGTGCTGCCAACGCCAGACACAGCTAGGATGAAACTGTAGCCCCTCTGCTTTTATCACTGGAGCAATGGGACATTTGCTGTGTGCTCCAGCAGGGCAGAGACAACCTGTGTTATTTTTCAGTTTTCTGTTTACAGGGGGGACTCGAGTAGCCGCAGGCACCCTGTGCTCTGGCGTGCCCCGTCAGAGTCCCTCCGCACATGGTGATGCCCCAGCCAGCCCAGCCTCTGCCCGGGACGGGCGCCTCACCCCCGCTCCTTCGCATCTCTTTGCAGCCATTTCATTCACCCCCGTTGGGCTGATGTCTCCTCAGATGACTAGGCTAGGATGGCTTTCTGGAGTTTATACATGCGTCTGGAACGATGAAAGTCTGATACAAAATTACTACCTTAAAAGTTGTTTGAATTAAGCATTTTGTGTAATGCTTTTTTTTTCCCCTTCCACTCAAGTCCTATTTTTGAAGAAGACACGCCCTCTGTTATGGAAATAGAAATGGAAGAGCTTGATAAATGGATGAACAGCATGAACAAAAATGGTACACGGTAACCCCCCCACTCCAGCATCCCTCTTGTTCTAGCTGACGTAGATCCCACGCGTAGAAAATCAATGTGCAGCATTTTGCGTGTGTGTCACCACTTTTCCTACAACATTTTTAGTTGTGTTCTTGACTCCCTGCTACTAAAATAGCAGCACAAATGTCAGGGGTAGAATTGTTGAGAGGAGTATTTTAGTTTGTGTGGGAGCTTATTTTTAACATATGATGGAATATCATAAATGTTTTGAGTTTCCAGTAGACACTTCTATTAAACACACATATAGCCATGAATAGTATTTATATTTTTAAACACACGTTTTTAATGCTAAGTACTAGTTTCTCTGAAGCATCTAGTCCTTTCAGTCTTCAGAGTTTCTACAGTTCTGTGCTCCACATTGCGCTGTTGTAGAAGAAACATGCATTTACTCATAGCTCAGACCACCGTTTACTTAAAATTGCTGCCAGGAGCCTATGAACACATCCCTCCCCTCTCTGTGTCCTTTCCCTCGCTTGCCAGCTCCACCGCATGAAACCCAAGCTGCTCTTTGCTGCCAGCACCGTTCATCATCTACATCCTCTCGGCCCACGGAGCAATTAGTACCTGCGGTAACTACCACCAGCAGCATCTTCAGCTCCCCCTTAGCTACTTCTAAGTATCTTGTATTTTTTCCCCCTATTTTCCTCCTAATTGAAATCTCCCAGTCAAAATCTCTAAGGGCCCTGCATCCCCCTTCAAGGGTCTCCTCAAAAAATGTGGGCCTTCGATAAGATGTGAATTAAGCGAAGTCTGATTTTGAACTGCTAACAGCTTGTCGCTGGCTAGGAAATGCTGAAACCCTGATATTTTTTTTATTTCTGGTCCCTTGCCTTATATCCAAATGGCTCATTTGCCTGATCTCCTAGGGATGGCTTTGTTTTTCAGGACATAAAACCCTTTGGAGCATTTCTTTACGTTAGCACAGTGCTCCACATGATGGGTTTTGACCTTCACGGTGTATAAGCTCTAGCAGAAAACATGTGCTAAGCACTGCAGTAGTGAAATAGAGACATCAAGTATAGTACACGGGGAAAGACTGCTGTAAAATATTTTTTAAAATTATGTGGACAGAAGGGAGCAAATAGTTTACATACGAGGGGGATTTTTTTGTTAGTGTTCTCTGAACCCCAGCCCCAAATTCCCAACTGGACTACAAAGCCTTGGTGCAACTATAAGCAGTGGAAGATTAACAAATAGTCCTCTCCAGGGTAGTTTGCAGTAAAGAGTGTTCAAAAAGTAGTCCATTTGTATAGGTGTACATGAGCAATTGAAATATATATAATAAAGAAATTACAGCAACACTTATGAAAGGTAAGGAAGATTTAGAACATGTAACATCTACGCTATGTGGGCTATGCTGATTTTACAGATAAAAGGGTGCAGAACAGCATCTGCAGTTTTATGTTCTAGAGAGACTGCACCAGAAAAATTGATGCTATTTTGAAATAAATGGAGAATAACTGCCAAGAGTAACTGTAGTTTTGTTTCTTATCCTTTTTCAGCTGACTGTGAATGTTTGCCTACTGTAAGAGAAGAAGAAAAAGAATCAATTGCCAACCCAAGGTACTTTTAATTCATTATACTATTTGAAGAAATATGATCAATGTCATTCCAAAAACCTCATTTTTTCTAATATATAATCATAAATAGGATGATTCTTTGGCCTATTTAAGTTCTGAAGGTTTTATGTATAGGGACCTTGATTTCAACTCAAACGGTCTGATGCTCTTTTATTTCTAAACTGGCCTCTGCCTGTAAATTGCAATCCTAAATAACCTTGCGGTTGTAAACCTGTGCGAGACAGACAACCAGATGGCACAGAGTTTCACTCGCCGATCAGCCTTTAAACACTGTTTCCCAAGGTGTTAGTGCAAGCATTCAGCACAGCTTCCTTGGCACTCCTCACTGGTGCGCGCACCCAGCTCCCCTCTCCCACCAGGTGCCTATAGGTCCCTGAGAACCCCTGCCAGATGTTTTGGTTGGAGCTGTGACCTGCCAGGCAGGGGCTTGTCTGACTCCAAGAGAAACCCAAAGGGTCTTCCCAGTGCCCCACTCCCACGGAGCTGGCATGAGCTCATGGTCCAAACAGAGATCCCAGAGGGATGCAAAACCACAATCCTGACAGCTTTTAAACTCAAAAACTGGTTGAGGCTGGTTTCCTCAAGATTTTAGCCAGAACCCCTAAATCCCTCTCAAACTCCCATTTTCCACAATTAAAAATTCTAGTTCCAGCTGGAAGCAAGGGGCTGTGCATCGCCCTTGCCCACATGCTTGTGCTGCAGCTGCATTTTTGGGAGTGGGCAAAGCAGCTCCTCTGTGCCAGGTTACAACAACAAACGATTAAACCATCCTGCCTGCCAAGAAAATCCCTGGTGCAGGGGAAGCAGTGGATGCAATCACGCAAGGCCAAGAGCAGGAGGGGTGGCAGGAGCAGGACCTTGTTCTTCCCCTTCCCATAGCACCAGATAACTCAGCCCAACATGCCTCTGCACCTCCCACTGTAGACCATCATAATATCCCAGTCCCCCTCTTCTGAGTTTTCTTGCTCAGGGGTGAACTAGCAGTGCTGGTAAATCACCACTGCTGGGCAGTTTGCAACTCCAAAGCTGCGGTTTCAGGGTTGCTTTTGGATGGGGCTGCTCTACTGCAGCTGTTTGTATTTTAAAGGTTTCTCCTTACACCTGTGGCAAGAGAAATGTTGTTGCACTGCCGGGGTTTGGAGGGGTTTGTTGGTTTTTGTTTTTAAAAAGACAACTTAGATCCTAGGTTCCAGAAGCAAGCAAGTACATTAATTTTTACCCTGAGCAGCCAGAAAAGATGCTGGATTTGTTAGCCATGCGGGTCTCCCCTTCCAGCCTCCAAACGATAACTCAGAGGGGGAAGTTGTTAAGGCGAGGCAGGCACACAGTACCTCTCTAAAAACAGATTTGCTGAACATACTGCTGACCACAGTAGGGGATATAGGACCAAGCGCGCTTGAGCCATGTGCTAACACCAGCAGAAGTTACTCACATTATAAAAGGTTTTTTTTAGGCACCACACCCTGAGCATTAAGTTCAGTTTCCAGAACTTAAACAGTTCATTTTCAGAAAAAAAAAAATCATCATGACCTGCCAAGCTTGAGCTGACATTTTAAATACCATCCTTGCTAAAGTGCTTTTGTATTGGACTTGCATTAACCCCATCGAGGGGGCGGGGGGGAAGGTTTCTCCTGGCTGGCAAAAGGTATCTTTGGGCTACACCCTACCTCACATTCCCCACCTGTAAAATAGAGATATTGTCACGTCAAGGCACTACAGCGAGGCTTAAGTCCTGATGCAAAAAAGCAGCCCTGTTCAGGTAAGTGCGCTGCAGTCAGGGTGAGGGTATACACAGCTTTTAAGCATATTTTCTTACAACTGGTATCTTAGGATCAGGCTGTAAAGAAATGTATGCCTCTAAATTGTAGGAAGGCAAACAAATGCAAATAAAAAGAGGAGATTTCTCTCTCAAGCATTCAGAACTGCTCAGACCAGGGATATTAGTTGAATGCAAAGTGGAAGGTTATTAGGTTCAACTTCAGATTCTAAAAAGTTGCTTTGTTTAGGCAAATTTCTTCTCAGATTATGGTAGTCCCTTTTTCAGATTTTATTGATGATATTTCAGCAAGGGAAACATCTCAAGGCCTTGCTGAACACAGCTGGCTGAGTGTTGTTTTCCTGCTTCATAAAGATGCTGGGGGGAGTGCATCAGGACCCAAATGTTTTGAACTACAGAATTGATTTTGAAAATATTTAATTTTGAAAACATCTCAGATTAAACATTTCAACAATGACATTTTCAGAATTAAAGTTGTTCCAAAACTACTTTTCAGAGTAAGTGACTTTTTAATATAAAATTTTAAAAAGGTCTAAAGAACAGAATCTCGTGGTGGTGAAATATTTTTAAGTTAACT